GGCCAGCAAAGGTGGGGTCGATTTAACCTCCATTTTCCCCAGTCAAAGCCCCCTCGTAGAGTAAGAAATGATCCTCCAGACGAGGGTATAAGGCAGGGAGCTGAGTGAAGGCCTCCCTGAAAATGGGTCCAAGTACATACTCTCCTTGAACATAACAGCGAGGAATAAGAATGCATCCATCAACAGCACACCGTTCACCAGCTTTGTACTTTTCACATTCTTCATTGATGAGTCTCCTTAAAGCTACAGAAGGACTCGCACGCTCAATGGCTTGCACTTTCAGATAAGCCATTACTGAAACAGTGAAAAAGGAAGGTGGATGAGAAGCGAAAAGTTGCAGACAAGATCAAAAGAAAGAGAAAGGAAATTTTGGGCAAGTAGATAAGTGAAATACGAAGGAAAGGGGTTTTTAAAACTTTTATGTCCAAAAGTTACCCGAACAAGTTGAGTAAGTCAAGTGGATCCGAAATGATTATTTTATGGTTTGGGTCCTTGTGAAATTAAAACCCTTATTTTAAAATATGGAGGGTCCCAAATTTAAAATGAAGAGAGTTTCTGGAGGGAAACATATGTTGAATATCCAAGTGTAGTTGGCTTAGAAGTCTCTATAGGTCTTTAAAATAAGAGGATGGCTTCAAAGCCTGATTGTCAAACAGTTTCAGGAGCAAGCAATTGACTTTGAAACAAGAATCATGTCCCAAATTCAAAAGTAATTGGGATTAATTTGGTTCGAAAGACTTAAAAGTATGCTTTTAGGTTTTCAATGAAGGATGAAGTCCTTAGAAGGAGCCTTTTGTAGGAACATGGTTCATGCTTAATATTTTGAACTTCGAGGTAAACAAACATTACAAAACCAGTATTTGGTCAAGTAGCGAAAAAACTCAAAAGAAGCTCACTCTTTACGAGTAAGCGAGGTAAGGAAAGTTCTATACTTCGAACCACGTAGATTGTGTTTCGAAGCAAAGTTGGTTAATTCGAAGCTGTTAGTTAAACAAGAACAGACTATGTTAACCATACAATTGGAACGTAAAGCAAAGGTTGCCTTTCTTAAGAGAAAACTATTTTCAAAAACGATTTGCCAGATCTGGACTCTTTGATGATTCATCGGTCTTGCATTGTACTCTGCGAGGTTAGATACAGGACCATGACACCAATTGAGTCCGAACTGTAGCATGAGGCCCGAGGGCGCGTCTACACTTCCCCAGTCAAGTGCCCCCTCATAGAGTAAGTAATGATCCTCCAAACGAGGGCATAAGGTAGGAAGCTGAGTAGGGGCCTCTCTGAAAATGGATCAAAGCACGTACTCTCCCTGAACATGGCGAAGAGGAATAAGAATGTGTCCATTAACAACACACCATTCACCAACTTTGTACTTTTTGCATTCTTTATTGATGAGTTTCCTTAAAGCTACAGAGGGAATCACACACTCAACGACTTACACTTTCAAGGAGGAAGAGCTATTAACAAGAATTTTCGGAAGACGAAGCTGAGAAGGAGAAGAGAGGAAGAGAATGCGATGGAAATGAAGGGTTTGTATCTTAGGCAAGCAAGTAAGTTAAAAGCACGGAGGAAAAGGGTTTTCAAACCTTTTTTGTCCAAAAGATGCCAAATCTGTCTAAATGGGTAATAAGACTCAAGATAAATTGTTTGGCTGATTTTGGAACCCGTATAAGTTTAAGATTTTTTGTCTTAACATTCGAAAGAGTCCTGAAAGAACAAGTGTGAAAAGTTTGGGCGGGAACATATCTCAAACAATCAGATTGGTTTCGAAAATAAAAATTTGGCTTCGATGTCAAGATTTGGCTCCAAAGCCTGAGGTCAAACAACCAACTAAGACTTCGAGAGCAGAAAGTTGGCTTCAAAGCACATTTCATGTCTAAGAGTACAAGGATGCATAGGTTTTTGTTTGCTTGAAAGAGATTAAAGACTTTTTTTTTAGGTTTCTTGTAAAAATAAAATCTCTCAAAGTAGACTTTGAAGTACTCTGCAGCTAGAATTTGTTTGTTTTAAAGTTCGAAGTTGAAAAACAACTATATGGTCCAAGCATGTTTGGTATAGCCCCTTTGTATTTTGGCTTATGAGCCTTGAGTGTGTGAGTCACTAGCATGCTTTAGTTGGGTTGTTTCAATGATTTGGAGTCATTTCACATGCCATTTGAGTCCCTAATCCATGCTTGTATGCTTACATTCATCATCACTTTCTTGCCTTGAAAGGTTGTTCTTTTGTGCCTTGGAAAAGGTCATAATACATGCCTTGTGATTAAGTCATTTGGGCTGCCATATCAGTGGGTTTTGGGGGCTCATTTTACATATTGAAACTCTGATTTGTATTGAAAAGTGCATGCCATGAGTGGTTGGGGTGGTTGTAGTAGGATACTCTCTTTAGTGGCCTTGAATGCTTTCTCTTTTGTGTCCATTTCCTAGCATGTTTTGGTGCCATCTTTTGCATGCATTTTAGAGTCTAACATGAGTGTTTGGTATCCATGTACCTCACTTTTGGGTGCTCTTGAGAATAGCCCTCCATGCCTTAGCTTTAGGCCCCTTTGATTTGCTTATTTGGTATGCTTGTTGTCCATCATTTTGGCATCTTTGGCCACTATTTTGGGGTGTGGCCGGGGCCTCCCATTTCAGCCTAAGTTCACTCTTGTATATGGTTGCATGCTTGACTTGTTACCTTTAGTTGCATGCTTGCATTGTGCCATGTTTACATTACATTTTAGGTTGCATTGTATTGCATCTCGCATGCTTAGTACATTATATTTGCATGTTTAGGTTACCCTGCATTTGGCATACCTTGTAACTTAGCCTCATGTTGCATAGTTGAGCCACATTTGCATACATATATTGCATTGTTTGGTTTGGGGTGTCAAACCAAACATGAGAATCGAGATGCGTTCGTACTCAAAGTGACGCAACGCGCCTCGATCCTCGGTCGCCGACCCCCATGACCTCAACATGATAGGGTGTTGGCATTCATGTGTTTTGTTCGCATGCATTTACATCAAAGTTGCTAACTTGGCCTCTTAGGCCATCATGCATCAAAATGCATAATTGATGGCCCGAGGGTCGAGGGTCATGCTCCCTTGAGTCCCTTGCATGATAGGGAGTGTGCCCATGCTTACATTTGCTTGAAAATTCGATGCCATACACTGCTTGCCCTCTGCTGCTGTCAACTGCAGGTTTCAGCGGGAAGATTTGGCCGGTCGGCAGTTTTGAGTGCCGACCGGCAAAGAATGTTTGGCCGAGAGCACAATATTTAGCCGATAACCTCATTACCATGGCCGGTGGCCTTTTGATTTGGCCGGTGGCACTCCACTGCACTCAGAATGAAGTTCAAAGCAGTTCTGGGGACTTTCATAAATTTCAGAGGGGTGAGGCAGTGTAAACAAAGGCAACAGTGCTATGGCAGCGAGTTTCCGGGCGAGACGAGTCAAGCATGCATCATTCACGTATCCCGAGACAGGGCTGTGGCCACCTTCTTTCTGCATTTAATTTGTCAATTAATTAGAAATTCTGTAATAATTAATTTAGTATTATTTATTCGGACTGTAATATTTATTCGGACCCTCCGAGTGAGGGCAATTGTGTAATAAGTGTGCGTGAGTGTGTGTATGTCTCCCAACCCCACGTCTGTCTTCCCTTTTATTTATTAGCTTTCGATGGTTAGCCTAGAGCATGTTTCAATTAGCATACAGTATGATAGCATGCGTGCATCTATACATTTGTCTTACATGCACTGGGCTCGGCGCATCATACTAACTGCATTTGTATTTCAATTTCAAAGTTGAATTCATGTTAGTTGTAGCATTATCACATGCTATCTTAGAATAGCCGAGCCTATTGTAGTTGCATCTTGTATGTGTTGCATTAGCCATCTTAACAGGTGCTAGGATCATGCATTGATTACTAACTAGCTTTTGTTTTGGCTCGGAGTACTAGGTAAGCATTTACGCTTTAGCATACCGCATGCGTGTGAGTGTTGCCATAATAGCATGATTACCATGAGGCTAGATGCTTATGTGATATAAACTGCTTGAATGCCTGTGGGTGAAGGTTGGATTGTTTGAGTTGGAACAACTCGTTGAAGTCCGTGCTTTAGCCTACTTGCGAGTAGCAAATTTCAAACTGTTTTTCAAACAAACGGATATGCAATGCTTCATTCCAATTCAGGCGATTTGGTCTATACTTGTTTGCTGTTGGGTTGTTTCAATGATTTGGAGTCATTTAGTAGAGCATATAATGGCAAGCATGAAAAACGGAAGAGATCTTTGGTGATACAGATAAGGCATGAAAGGATTTGCAAGATATGGATATCACGGTTAGTAGAGGCCGATCTTCGGATCGGGCGAGAGGGGGTGCTCATAGCTGACTTTCCCCAATCGTACCCAAGCTCCCGAGCCGAGGCAACTTTGGTGATGACGGACACGTAGCCTTTGGCATCGAGTCAGGGTTTCCTAAATTCCCCCATAAAAAATATTTAGGTGGCGACTCTGTATCTAGCAAAGCAGTCCATGTTTGGCACTTCTTTCAAAAAAAAAAAACTATTTTAAAAAACGATTTGCCAGATCTGGACTCTTTGATGATTCATCGGTCTTGCATTGTACTCTACGAGGTTAGATACAGGACCATGACACCAATTGAGTCCGAACTGTAGCATGAGGCCCGAGGGCGCGTCTACACTTCCCCAGTCAAGTGCCCCCTCATAGAGTAAGTAATGATCCTCCAAACGAGGGCATAAGGTAGGAAGCTGAGTAGGGGCCTCTCTGAAAATGGATCAAAGCACGTACTCTCCCTGAACATGGCGAAGAGGAATAAGAATGTGTCCATTAACAACACACCATTCACCAACTTTGTACTTTTTGCATTCTTTATTGATGAGTTTCCTTAAAGCTACAGAGGGAATCACACACTCAACGACTTACACTTTCAAGGAGGAAGAAGCTATTAACAAGAATTTTCGGAAGACGAAGCTGAGAAAGGAGAAGAGAGGAAGAGAATGCGATGGAAATGAAGGGTTTGTATCTTAGGCAAGCAAGTAAGTTAAAAGCACGGAGGAAAAGGGTTTTCAAACCTTTTTTGTCCAAAAGATGCCCAATCTGTCTAAATGGGTAATAAGACTCAAGATAAATTGTTTGGCTGATTTTGGAACCCGTATAAGTTTAAGATTTTGTCTTAACATTCGAAAGAGTCCTGAAAGAACAATGTGAAAAGTTTGGGCGGGGAACATATCTCAAACAATCAGATTGGTTTCGAAAATAAAAATTTGGCTTCGATGTCAAGATTTGGCTCCAAAGCCTGAGGTCAAACAACCAACTAAGACTTCGAGAGCAGAAAGTTGGCTTCAAAGCACATTTCATGTCTAAGAGTACAAGGATGCATAGGTTTTTGTTTGCTTGAAAGAGATTAAAGACTTTTTTTTTAGGTTTCTTGTAAAAATAAAATCCTTCAAAGTAGACTTTGAAGTACTCTGCAGCTAGAATTTGTTTGTTTTAAAGTTCGAAGTTGAAAAACAATATTTGGTCAAGCAGCGAAGAAACTCAAAAGAAGCTCACTCTTTATGAGTAAGCGGGGTAAGGAAAATTCTATGCTTCGAACCACGTAGATTGTGTTTCGAAGCAAAGTTGGTTAATTTGAAGCTGTTAGTTAAACAAGAACAGACTATGTTAACCATATAATTAGAACGTAAAGCAAAGGTTGCCCTTTTAAAGAGAAAATTCCATACTTTGGAAGTTTCTGAGTTAGGCTTCAGAGCAAAATTGATTGATTTAAAGCTTCTTTGAAAATAATAAGGAGTTAGGTCACAACAACCGTACAATTAAGCATACAATTATAATATAAAATCAGATCATGACAGGTGGAATTTGAAAAGCCCATTTTTATTGATAAGTAATATTTATATTGGGAATACTCATTTGGCTACATTCTCAATTTCGTAAAAATAAGGAATGGACAAAGTTACAAGATCATGAACTTAGTCTAACAAAACTCAATAAACACATACTCTTTTATTAATCTATCTTTTATTCTATCCAAATTTGGTTTATCTAATTGATGAGCCCTTAATTAGAAGAAGAGTTGTTGGGCTTTCATTTCAAATTCTATTTGCTTAAGAGCCTTCTTTGTCTCATCTATCTCCTCTTCCTCATGTGCTTCGCCCATAATGGCATCTTCTCCATACTCTAAATCTTGGTTTTTGAAGTTCTCATATTCTTCGAGGAGATTCTCTGTCTCATGCTGAATTTGGATTTGAGCAGTAGCAGTTTCATTCAATACTTCATTTGTAATAGAAGCATTGATGCGCTAATTGAGTAGGAGGGGAAGTTGGTCCAGGAAAGCATAGAGCTCTGCATGGGCTACAGGGTTGAGAAGATGGCTGCGAGAAATAATTTCACAAGCCCATAACAGGTTCTTGTGAGGAATATCATCTCGCAGGACTTCGAAGGACAAATGGAAGAAAGCAGCAAGCAGGGTTTGAGCCCTATATTGCTAATAAACAGTTGGAGGAACTGAAGCTTGCACGAAGCGAAGTATTGACTCTTGAAGAAGGTGAGCCTCAATTCCATAATCCAATTTGGTTGGAGGGCAGCAGAGGAGCAGTGGGAGCCTTTTTGAATGAAGATGAGAATTTAGGTTTGTTCACACACTCAAGCCAATTAGAGGAGCAAAGTTTTGCTTTTTTGGCTATGAGTGCAAGATTGATTCCTAAGGCTTCATCAGGGTGTGGAGCCCTTCGTACCATTCGAGATAGCAAAGTAGAAGTGTACCATGCTGAAAGCAAGTTGTCCTCAAGGCTGCATAGACGGTTGAAAGGAATGTATGGGTACACTACAGAGCTGTGCACGGAAGGATGGACTGTAAGAGGATTATCGAATTCAGGAAATCGATGATGAATGCGGTCCCTCGTTTGAGGTTGAGCAGGAGTAGGCCAAGCTTTCTAGCCAAAAGCTTTAGAAGAAGAAGAGGAAGCAACAACCTCATCCCACGCAGAAGATTTTGTGGTAGAAGAAGAGCTTTCAATATCCATTTTTGCAAAATCTTGGTCTAAAGAATTGTGAACAACAGGTTATTGGTCCAAAGGTCGATGATTTGCAAAAGCTTCTATGACTTGAATAAATGGAAGTGGATAGGTATGACTAATAAATGCATGAAAGTTCTTTCGAGGAAGAACATCATTATCTAGCAACTCTTTGTATGCTTGATCTTTGTAAGAAAAGGTTTGCTTGGCCATAAGAACTGCATCAGCCTTTTCGAATGCTCAGATAGTGGGAAATGTTCAAGGCTTAGAAGAAAATTTAATGCAGTACAAACACTGTAGTAATGGATGTCGGTTGCATTTTTAAGAAGATGCAAAGCCCATGCGTGTCCTAGGACGTGGGTAAAGTGCCTTGATCCACTAATATCACCAAGTATTGGGTATATTAGTGCGGGGGGTAATGTTGGCTACATATTTTGTATAAGCCAATCACAGCTTAACATGAGGCAAGATGAGGACAATATGGGGAGTTAATTCAAGTCTTCAATCGAAATCAGACACGTTGCAGTTAGCATTGGTAATCATGGATCTGCGTAGCGCTGGATTAGTAGAGAAATACAAGATGATGTGGCCTAACGGTTATTCATATATTTAAATTTAAAAATCAGGAGGGAAGCCTAATTGCAAGAAATTGAGTAGTGGGACTGACTGAGAGGGAACATGTTCAACAATTATGGAGAATATTTCGACGGTTGAAAGCCCACTTCGACGATTATTAATGAAAAGTATAAATAGCATACAAGGCCCCAAATTGAAGGATCCAGACTCAGATTAAAAAACCAGTTTATTTACTTTGTTTTTTTTTTTTTCCAGTTTTGCAGTTCTTTATATTTCTGCACTTCAATTTCTGTATTGCACTTCATTTCTTAGGAGTAGTTTCAAATAGCTTGTTATTGTAAACCTCTACGAGGCTGGGTCAGATCATTGTAAGTTTTATTTTACTTAATGAAATTTAGATCCTGAAAATTGTTTATCACTTATTGTTATTTACTAAATTCTCTTAAAAACAAGTCACTAGTAAAAGTCCTCTTCATTGAGGCTGAGAGAACTAAAATACAATCGTCTAATAATTGTTTGGCAATTAATATTCTGTAAATACTAATTGATCCTTACTAGCACGTTTAAAACCTTTGAAAGCCAAAAAAATCAACAGATTGTGAAATAAACAAGTGAAAAAATTCAAAATGAGTGAACATTACAAACAAAATAAGAAATTATAGCGATGTTGTGAGAATAAAAAATAAATCATTGTTATTTTATAGGTAGAGCAACAACGATAACTTGCAAACTTTGATGAAATCTTTGCAAAACCAACGGTAAACTTGCGATATTTGAATGCTTTGCAAAACCAATAGCTAAGAAATCTGCACAAATTTAAAGCCTCTACAAAACAAAGGCTGCTATACTTCCAATATTGTTGGTAAGAAATCTGCCATTGATGGCAAAAATCTGCACAATTTTGTAAACCGGTTGACACATAGGTTGTCCAGGAGGACATCCTCCCGGTTGTTCTTCCTCTTGGTCAGGAATGTGCAACTTTACAAGTAGATGGACAATCAGTCGGTCGTCGAATATACAGTGAAGTCTCAACGACTATGTGCAAAAATTTGATGAACGATGAAATCTCCTTTAATTTAGGCCTCATTTGGCAAGTTAACATTTTAGCTAAAAAATCAAAAAGTTATTAAAAAAGCCAAAAAACCTATAATTTATACCAAAAAGTCAAAGATTTTATTTTCTCTTTACTTTTTGCATATATTTTCGTAAAAAGTCAAAAAATCACCCCAAATATATTAGTTTTTTTTACCTTCTATTTTAGTTAAAAAATAAAAAAATTACTAAAATAACTTATTCCAAAATGAGGCCTTAATGAAAGTTTTAGTTTTTTCGTCATTTGATATCAATTTGATGTCATGATTAAAGCATAAAAATATATTTATTTTCTTAAATTTAAATTTAATAAAAAATCTTAATAAGCATGGGAGACACTCTGATTCAAATTTATTTATTTTTTTATATCAAATTTAACAATATACTTTCTAAATTTTAAAAATTTGAAAGTGAGATTGGAGTTGCTCGACTTCAAAAATCCGCGCAAGTATTATCGTCCTGGTGCGAAGTGCGAACTCACACCCTATATATATCGATCAAAATAAGGAAAGTCCAGACGTTTTTGATTTTCAAAATCATAAATCCCTTCAAACCCCTCCAAAATTCCCCGCCACCATGGCTTTACCTTCTACCCCTGCAGATCCTCCCACCACCACCGCCACCGCCGCCGCCGCCACCACTCGTCTCTTCACAAGCCCACCACCGCCGACAAGACCCCCAACCCCACCAATCACAACCTCCACCACCGTCTCATCCCTTCTGCATTTTGCTCTTCCCCCAACCCCAACCCCAACCCCAACCCCAACCCCAACCACCTCTCTACACAGCTCAACCCTTGCCCAATCTCGCCCCTAGACTCCCAGCCAATTCAATCCACTCTCAATTGGCCACCAGACCCCAGCATGACCCATCTCAGGGTATTCTCTACCCAGTCGCCTCCTCTGGCCGCGGATTTCTCCCCAAGACTATTCGCCCCCAATCCGCCGATCATACGGTCACGGTTGCCAATCCTGGTGGATTTCCGCCTCGCCCTGTGCTTGTTGCTGCGTACCCACATCCTCACCAAGTTCGCCCTTTTGGGGACCCTCATGCTCAGTCTGTGCACCTGATCAGGCCCACTCACTTGCACAACACTCTTTTGGGTTCCACTGGTGGCGTCATGTCCGGCATGGTCAAGGGCGTCCCTGTCTCTGCCCAACAAAAGGTTCGAAATTTTCTACTTATTTGACTGTACTGTGCGCTTGCTATGAAAATTAACCGGTTAAATATAGATGGAGAAAAAAAACATGAATTTTATAGTTGAGAGATCTATTGTTCAGTTTTATAGTTGAGGGGTTAAATGATATTCATGTGTTTCGATGATAGGATTTAAAAAGAAAGAACATGAATTTTATAACTAGGAATTCTATTACTAGTAATAATAACCCTGTGTCAATGCAACTCTACTCTATAGGAATGTGATATAATTTTAGATATTTTGAGTCCATTTACTTGCTTTATTCTTAAATATGTCACATTCCTTTAGGAATTTAATATTTCTAGATGTGTTAACAGGATTCTCACTTAGTGTGGTAAGCTAATTTTGCATTGGAAAGTAAAATATAAATTACATTCCCATTCATGGACATACCCAAACAACGGAGTAAAAGAGGTTTGGAATGAGATTCCCATTCCACCTCTCCATTCTTGTCATCCAAACATGGCCTAAGGTTTTGATGTTTTATTTTTGATGTTATTTGTTTTTAGTTTTTGGATTTTCGTTTGTGTTGGATGTAATGCGAACTAGGTCGATTTAATCAAAGAAACATGGTGGTGGAGACTTATTTTAATGCTATTAGAGTCAAAATGTTTCCATTTTATTTATAATCATGTGAATGTTGATAAACTATTTGTTATGAAGCGATGATTTGTGATTCTTGCATCCAAGGAAGTATGGATATGGATATGGATACGGGATACGTGTACGATATGATACGAATACGGTAATATGCCAAAATTTGAAAAAATAAGATACGGGTACGACGGGAATACGTTTGTAAAAAAAATTATTTTTATATTTTTATTAATGTAATAAGCATGAAAATAAAATCTAAGGCCAAAAAATATATTCGTAAAACATCCAATATTAAACTTCTTAATATTAAGCATTCATTGAAAGAGAATTCTATTAAACTAAGAGTCTTCAATGTCAACAACTTCCTAAAATTAAAAATTTGATAAAGAAAAACTAACATTAAATTAATTATATTTCTAGCATCATTTGGGAACAAAGTGCATTAATCCAAAGGCTTCATTTAAAAAAAATCCAAAACCCACAATATATATATATATATATATATAACAGATAACAAGAGTAATATAAAAGGGAAAAAAGAAGAAGCAAAATAACTCTTAGAAACGTGAGAGAGAGAGAGAGAGAGAGATGGCAATGAGAGAAGAGCATAGAGAATGAAAGCAAGAGAGATAGAGAGAATGACAGCCAGAGAGAGAGAGACAAGGTCGATCGCGACAGAGATGAGATTTAGTTGCCAGATTTGTTTCAAAGTTTCTTGGATTTGTGTATTTGAGATAAGATTAGGGTTTTTTCTTTTAACTTTTTCTTGTTTACCCGTGGATTTGAGGGATCGTTTTCTAGTTTGTATTATTTTTATTTTTTATGGTTTGACTCACAAAAAAGCTTTGAAAATTACATTTTTTGCCCCTTTGTATCCCAAAAGTGTCCGAAATGTATTTCTAAAAAATAAAATAAAAAGAAAATCAATACTTTTTGGCCGTATCCAATATGTATCCCGGTGTATCGGACGCATATCCATATCCAACGCATATCCGATACTCGTACGTTGCCTGTTTTGGAGTATCCGTGTTTCATAGCCCGCATCTCAATTTACTTGAAAAAAATGTTTATTTTTTAGGTCAGTCTACATTTGTAATTTTACGTATAACTTAATCTTTGGTGTGATATCTGACTTCGTGGAGTTCATAGCTTTGCTTTTATTCTTTCAGAGATTTGGGGTCATTGGAATTTATTGAGTTCAAATTTATTGATGAGAATTATTGGAATGGTAACCAAACAGTTGAAACCCTCAATTTCAAAACCAATGCTAACGGACCCAGGAAGGATGACAAATTTTCATTTATAAGCCAATAATTGATGTCTTCGTGGCTTGGTTCATTAATAGCCCTAGATGTGGTAGCTTTTTGGGTCCATCAGTTGGTCCTTTCTTATCTGCTTCATTCAACCCTTTCACCTCGCCAATGTTTTACCCATACGTCTAGACTGTTTAAGTTTGCGGATCTTTCCAAATTCATCCCTGTCAGATCATGTCAGAGGAACTGGCGGTTTTGGGCCAAATCAAGGTATTTGAGTTCAGTTCCCTACTGATTATGCGACTCCTAGGAAGAACATTTGCTTTGGTTGGATTTTGGTGGGCTATTAGATGACTTCTTTCAACTCTTGAAGATTTTGAATCGTTGATGTCTTTTTTAATGAATTTATGTTGGGTTTGATGTCTAGGATTGTTATTTTTTTTGTTAATTAGGATAAAGATGGTTTGAACTGTATTGAGATGATCATAAATATTGTGGATGTGCTAGCCAAATTACTACTATATATATATATTTACTTCTAGGTTTCCAATTTGGTTCAATAATATTTAGTAGTAGGGGAGGCAAGACTTATTAACTAATGATTTATCAACTACAATCTTTTCTCCATCTTTGTAAGTACAGAATATGTGCACAAAAGAAAACCTCTAAGAAGATATTGTGTAATCTTCTAAAGATTCTTTTAATTAATTTCTATTAGGTAATAAAGTTGTCATTATTTATCTATGAAAAAGAAAAAGAAAAAAAGAAATCATTATTGTCCACAGCAAGGACCAAGTTGGTTTGTCAGTCAATGAGAAATATTTAAATGTATCTTCGTTTCACATCCAGTATTTAACGGGCTTGGAAGGGTTCAAGGGGCCACATTTTGTGTCAAAATCATTATAAATCAAGAATTGATGTAGTCATCATTGGGATATGTGCCAAACCTGGTGTAGAAGTGGATAGGAAGTACACCCCTTTTATGTAAAATCGGTCTCTGCTGTGTTTTGGATTAGTGATGTTGCACAGGCTATCTGCATTCAAGTATACTTATCTTTTAAATTACTTACTTTGCTTTGCATTTATTAGTGGTGCATGAACTATCTGCATCAATATGCTCATCTTCTTATTGCTACCTAACTATTGGAATGTGAGGACATTAGGAGAATCATATTTGGCCAAAATCTACAGATCCATGAATGGTTTATCTTAAAAATTAGACTCTTCTTATTGGTTCACTAAGTGGATGCATGGCAGAGTGCTTCTGTGTATTTAATGTCTTTGCTGGTCTCTTTGTTGCCACGTCTTTGATTCTCATCATTGGCTTTCTTAAACTAGATTTATGCTTGTCTTTAATATTGCATTCATAAGCTATGAAGGTTGCTCTTTTTCAGGTTGCTGCATCTCAACCTTCAATTTCTGATTGTAATGGCTACAAGGACCTGAGGTAGTGCTGCATTTTGATGTAGTTTTATTTATTTATTTCTATTTGTAATTAATCCATTTTGTTGGGCGATTACAGTGAAGTTTTACTTATGCTATTTGTAGGGACAGAAGTAGGGATGACAGTATTGCGACTGTTAGTGATCGGAAAGTAAGGAAGCACTCTTGTTCATTCATTTGATTGTGACACATGCAAATATAAGTGCTTGATGGAAGATTCAGTTCTTACATTTATATGTGCATGTGTTGTAACTGGTAACACATATTAAGCACAGCCTGTGGATCTTTTTCAATGATAAATTAAGCTTGGTCTGTAGAATATGCCTTTGGTACTGGTCACATAGCTATTACACCAGTACAATTTACAAAGAAATATGTCTCACAGTGTTACATTGCCTTGCAAATACCTAATGGACAAGTACTTTTGAGTTTTCTATTTACTTTTGGATGCAAATAATCAATTGCAAGATTTAACGAGGTACAATTTGTGAAGCATCTGATAAGTGATTAAACCCAAAAAGACATAAAGGAACATGATTAGCGAGAATAGAAGCTTAACGTTATGCCTTAATTGAAGACATGTTTTTTTGATATGTTCAGTCCTAAGTAGTTTGGATAATTATTAAGTTTCAGCGACAGTTTGAAAATTGTCACGAAAAATGTCACTAATTATAAGTTTTAGCGACAGTTTAAAAAAATTGTCACAAAAGAACGTCACTAATTTCAACTTTCAGCGACATTTTGAAAAATTCATTACAGAAAAATGTCACTAATTGTAAGTTTTAGCGACATTTATAAAAATCATAACAAAAAAAGTCACTAATTGTCAATTTTTAGCGACATGTGCAAAAAATCGTCACAAAAAATTATTTTTAGCGACGATTTTACTTGATGGGAATTAAGTCAAATTATTAGGACTTATTGGTAGTTTACCCTTAATATAAATACATGTGTGGTGGGAGTGAACCCCAATTTTTTGGGTCTTTCGTAGTAGCTGTATATTCCTTCTCTCTCTGTGTCTTCATTTTCTCTCTTAATCATTTCAATTTTAACTTTTTATTAGAGCTTCATCGATCTTAAACTATAAGAAACAAAAAAAGTCTTAATGTCCAGAGTTTGTTTTGTTTTGTTTTTTCGTCAATATGCCATTTTTTTTTTTTTTTTTGTGTGTGCGCGCGCTTGAAATTTCATAGGTATCTTCAAGGTGATTTTTCTAAAAAAATTATGGTTCACTATATGTATATATATATTTTTGTTGGATTTTTGTTGTTTTTGTTTTTGTAATTATTTTTTTATTTATTTTTCTGTGTGTGTGTGCGGATAAGTTTTGGTTTGTTATTCCTCTAGTTTTGACTTTCTGGGTTGATTTTGGGTTATTTATTCCTCTCTGTGAAGTTTCATTGTAGCTTGTTGATTTCGTTAGTGCTTGAATTAGCTTACTGAGTATGGCAGACTGTATTAAGGTTCCTTTAGAGTGGGTTGAGTTGTGTCAGGACTCTCAGTGATAGCCCATCCCTTCAGATCAGCCTCATTAAATTGGATGGTACCAATTATTTGATTTGGTCTCATTTGTGTAGCATGGTTATCATCGCTCGTCGTCTGACCAGTTATATCACTGGCGCTCTCAAGGAACCTTCTGACGATGTGCTTGCATGGAGCAAATGGTTTTCTAAGAATGCTCTTATCATGCCCTGGTTGATTAACTCTATGCTACCCACTATCAACCGTACCTTCTTGTTGATAACTATTGGACATAAGATTTGGACAACAACAATGCATACTCTCAGAAGGAGAATGATGCACTTGCATATCAATTGCAGAAGAAAATTCGTGGATTGGATAAAAAGGATCGATCTCTTGTTGTGTATTATGTTGAGTTGAATAGTTTGTGGTTGGAACTTGACTATTTCCAGAGCTCTTTTTTTTTTTTTTTTTCCTTCAGGATGTTTGTGCAAGTTTTCTGAATGATTTTGTATATTCAATTGTATTCTTTACGAAGTACACATCTGTTTATATAGCCCTAAGAAGACTAAAAAAGGAAAACAAAATATCTATACAATCAAAGGAATATCTATAATCATATATGCCTAATATAAAAGATACATAAAATATATGCTAATATATTCTCACACCTTTGCTCAAACTCAAGGTGTTTTAGTAGAAAATACGGAGAGTTTGTCAAGGAGAAATTGAAAACTGAGTAGTAGTGTGAGTCTTGGTGAAGAAATCAACAACTTGCATAGTAGAAGAAACAAACAGAAGCAAAATAGAGCCAGATTGCAGATGTTGGCAGACAAAGTGACAATCAATCTCAATGTACTTCGTGTGCTCATGAAAACAAGTGTTATGAGCAATCTGAATAGCGCTGCGGTTGTCACAGTAGAGAGAAATTGGAGAGTACTGATGAAAACCTAAATCAGACAAGAGACAACGAAGCCAGACAATCTCAACAGTGGCATGAGCCATAGCACGGTACTCAGTTTTTGCAGTAGAACGAGTAACAACGGTTTGCTTTTTACTTTTTCAAGAAATCAAGAAATCACCAAGAAACATACAGAAACTAGAAGTGGATTTTTGGTCAGTGACATCACTAGCCCAATCACATAGGCTACCAAGTTCAAAGAAGATGTGGATGATAACAACAAACCCTGAAAGATAATGTCTCTGAGATAGTAGAGAATCCAAACCAAGGCTGCCCAATGCATGGAACGAGGAGTAGAGGCAGATTGGTTGACCATATGAACAACACACGCAAGATCAGGCGAGTAATAGTTAGATAAACCAAGCAACCAACAAGCTCGCGATAGGAGGTAGGATCATCTAGTGGGACACCATTAGTATGATTAAGCTTTACATTAAGCTCAATCAGGGTATCAAAAATCTTAGTAGAGACCAACACGAAGAATAGCTTCATTGGCATACTTGACCTGAGATAGAGAATACGCCTTGGGAGAAGAAACTTCCTCAATACCAAGAAAATATCACAATAGGCTCATATCCTTCATTTCAAAGGTGCGGAAGAGATGTTGCTTGACCTTAGAGATAGTAGAAGAGTTCGAGCTAGTGATGATCATATCGTCGACATAAATTAACATGGCAACAAAACCAGTAGAGGTATGGAGCATAAACAAAGCAGAATCTTGGGCACAAGGATGAAACCCAAGTTGATTAACATTCGTCTGAAAGTGATCATACCAAGCACGAGAAAATTGTTTCAAACCATGAAGAGCACGACGAAGACGACAAACTTGTCTAGAGGAGTGAGGACGGTCAGGGGGAGGATGCATGTGGGCCTCCTTAGTGAGATGGCCATTAAGAAAAACATTCTTAACATTCATCTGATAGAGAGGCTAATGATGGACAACAACGACAGAAATCAAAGTGCAAACAATAGTCATCTTACCGACAAGGGCAAAAGTCTTTTTATGATCAAAACCATACTCCCGTGTAACCACTTCGTAAACCAACCAGATTCTTGCCAGTAGGCAAATGAACCATCTCCCAAGTAGAAGTCTTCTCCAATGCGGACAATTCATCCTCCATAGCTTGAACCAAATTAGGATCCTGACAGATCTCCTTGTAAGACTGGGGTTCTGAAAAGGAATGAATAACAGACAAGAAGGTGCAGTATGAAAGAGAAACAGATGTTAAAAAAATCAAATTTCACCATAGCCTTATGTTGATGAAGGGGATACTGACATCAAGATCAGTGTCATCAGAAGTAGGAGGATCAAGAATAGGGGCAAAAACAATCGGTGGGGAAAAGCCTTGCGACAAGAATAAACTAGCAATGGAGTAGGAGAAGGAGAAGGAGCCAAAGCTAGAGCCAGAGTCAGAGGGGGAGCAGGAGAATTGGGAACAAGCTCATGGGGGACAGTAGAAATGTACTCATCAGGAGGAACCTCAGAAGGAAATGGATCAATGTGAACCAAATCCTCTTTGGAAATAGGAGTAGTGATAGGAGGAAACTGAAAGTAAGATAGGCGTTTGAGAAAGGTAACATGGTGGGAGGCATAACGTGACGGGAGACAGGATCATAATAACAATAGCCTTTCTGAGTAAGACTGTAACCCAGAAAGACACATAGGACATACCAAGCACTAAGTTTAGACCTATCTTTACAGGAAAGAAGGAAAAAATAGGCAGACCCAAAGACACAGAAGAGGGAGTAATTGGGAACTTGGAAAAGTAAAGTCTTATAAGGAGAACGATCGAAGAGAAGGGAAGTGGGCATGCCGTTGAGAAGAAAAATAGCATTAAGAATTGCCTTACCCTAGAACGGGACCGGAATAGAAGCAGAGACAATAAGAGATCGAGCAATCTCAAGTAGGTGACGATGTTTACGCTCAGCCCGGCCATTCTAGGTAGGTGTATTAGAATATAAAGTTTGGTGAATAGTACCCAAATTAGCTAAATATTCACAAACTCAATTTTAAATTATTCCTTACCTAAGTCGGACCACAACAGTTTTATAGTAGACCCAAACTGTGTAGTGAATATAGACTGAAAAGTACGATATATCTAGTAGAAGTTGGAGTTATGAGTCATAAGATAAACCCAAGTGTAACGAGTGCAATCATCAACAAATGTTCGGCTCGGGTTTCCCTTTCGCCAGTCAGTCAAACAGACACATGCGGGTTAGGAAACCAATCACCCTTAATCGACTGAGCTACCATTTGAAATTGACCGAATGGGATTGATGGTAAGTTTGGTTGATTTCGAACATTTGGCATGGAGGTGAAAGCATTTGGAAAAATAGAATAAAAGTTCAAAATAATAAAGTTAAACTTGTATATATATATTCATTTTAGAGCACAAAAAATAAAATAAAATACGTAATATAGATCTATGAGGGAACATAGAGAATGAGAAAGAGGGGAGAGGCTCACCATTACCACCGCCGTTGTAAACCATAACCACTGCCATCACCATTGCCACTATCATTAACTCACTTCGTTTGCCTCAACCACCATCACCATCGAAAGATAGATGTGAGGGAAAACAGACACAGAGAGAGAGAGAGAGAGAGGGTAAGTATTTGGAGAGAGAGAGGGAGAGGGGAGGAGATGAGGTGGGTGTAGGAGGGAGACGAGAGGGTTGAGAGAGATGGAGATGAAGAGAGAAGGGTGAGAGATGAAGATGAGAGGTTTG